TAATTTTTTTCGTGCACTAATAACATGTTTGCTTATACTAATATAAAATACTTTTTGAGTAAGAAAATATATTTTCTTAAAATCTTAGCTTTTTTAAAAACAATTTAATTTAAACAAAATAATTTATATTTGAATAAATATATATTGTTAGCAGTCACTAAAGAAATTTTTTTCTATATTATAATTGTTTTCTATATAATAGTCCTATATAATAGTTCTGAATGACGATACATTAATTATTATCTGAAATATATTTATTTGTCTATTTGTGACTTTTATTTCATAAATTTTGTTTCGACGACACACACACTTTTTGAAAAATTTTTTATTTATTCCGTTATTTTATGTTAGTATAAAAAAAATAATAAACATCGATATTTTTAAATATACGTGGTATATTTGTCCGTTGGATGCGTTTCGGGTAATTTCTAAATAAGTTAAATATGATTTCGATTTAAACGCACTTTCGAGCTTTGCAGCGCGAACGTTGAAGTTCGATCGGATTGATTTAATACGCCACGTGGAAATCAATCGCTACGCCGGCCGCACTGATTTCTCTCTCTCTTTTTCTTTCTCTCTCTGTTTTTCTTTTTCTCTCTCTCTCTCTCTCTCTCTCGCGAAACGCCGGCCTCGGAGGGAAGGGAGAAGGGGGCAGGCCTCTCGGCCGCTAATGCCGAGTTAAGCGCCCTAACCTGCCTCAAAAGACGCTGCACGACGTAAGAGATAATAAATCCTGGTGGCTCTCGCGCGCGGCGGCGGCAGCGAGACGATGCTCGTATGAAGAGGCGAGAGAGTAAGGGAAGACCGCCGCGACCGAAGCCGAGAGGTTGAGACTGCGTCTATTAAGTTCTGAGTGATATCTCGTAAGAAGCGTATACAGGGTGTTCAGTAATAGAAGTGCATTGGGTGCACCTGACGATATTCTTCGTCGAAAGCTGAAACGATCGTGTCATAACGGAGATATGTCGAGACATGAATAGATTCTTGAGCATGACGGTTCTCCTTGGCATTCGTAGGGTACGATTCAACGATGCGAATAGATAATGAAATTTTATTTTATTTTCTCTAGATAATTTTACTTCGGTGAACTCTGTGTGTATATATATGTGCGATTTCAGAAATAGATATTAAAATATTTACTGTTCATATACTTTTTGAGAATAGTGAAGATAGACAGCATTCTATTCAATTTTGCTGTAGTAATGACCGTTTTACTTTTTGATAGAAAGGGAAAGAATGCGATAGCTTTGGCTCTGTGATGCAAAAATATTCCCTGAACTTCTATTTTCCATTTTCAACGTTGCAAACGATAGTACAGAAAAAGCAAACGCCGCGTAGTTAACTGTAGAATTGTGTGTTGACGATGGAAAATAAAAATTTGCGACAAGTTAAAATATCAACGTAATTGATTCAATATTATTAATTTGACGCGGTACATGTTATGCATGTTTCATCAATCTATTATTTGTATAGTATCTATAACGGTAGGGATACACACTGTTTAAAATGTACATTATTTACATATATAAACACCTGGAGATTGAATTATGTATATGTTTACGTATACATCACCAACGCGATCGCTAAAAGTCAGTCGGTCACCGTGCGTGCAAGAGTCAACGGAGAGTTCGCGCTATATAAAGATACGTTCATAAAAATTCCTACGTTAGTTAACGGAATTATTTAATATTCATTAAAGTCACATGGCAAAAACTACGATTAGTCTCACTGATATCACTTACTTCAATATCTTATGACAATATTCACATAGCTGTAGAATATTTTCATGATATATCTTCCACGATATCGCACAGTCGAGATTTCAAAATTTTTTTAATCACACGACACTTTGAGATTGTTCATTACTTTCTTATTTTCGAAAAAAAAGTTAAAAGCAATTACTAAATTGCACCGCTAAAGTATTAATTGCGTTGCAAGAAATACTATACTACGGAGAGAATATGTCACTCTGTTATACAAGATAGAAAAGAAGAGAGAGAGAGAGAGTTTTGTTAATATTATTATATTACACCGGGACAAACGGGAAAAGCTTCGGGCTAGAATCGAGCAAGATAAACGAGAATTCAGGCGAAAAAGAGACGATGTGCTGTTGTAAAGGGATAAGCGGGGGGAGGGGGGAGTAGCGGGGAAGATAGGTGAGGTCGTCCTCTCGCGATGCCATTGCTACGGTGAGAAGATATCGCGGAAGGTGGAAGAAAGTTGGAAGAGCGGAGAGAGGAAGAAACGGAACGACCAGCCGTGAAGGGCAGATGACCGAGGACGCGGGACGGGGGGGAATCGCCGGACGAGGAAGGGAGGAAGGGGCGAGAAGGCGTGTGCAGCGAAGGATGAGAAAAGAACCGGGAGAATCGATCTCTCTCGTATGGCAAGAGAGTGCAAGAGGATGCTGCGTGCCGGCGAAGAAAGAGAGAAAGACGGAGAGTACACGAGGGTCGATTCCGCACGCATCGTAGTGTATGTGCGTGTGAGAGAGACAGAGAGGGAGAGAGGGAGGGAGGGAGGAAAGAGAGAGAGGTCACGCGAGACGGTCGAAAAGTGCGTAAAACGGATTGAGTAGCCGCGCGGGGCGTTTCAAAGCAGAACGAGGAACTAGTAGTTAGTCTCAGCAAGGAGAAACAATGTTGCCGATTTCGATGAGACAGGTTACCGGCTGTTACGTAAGTCTGCGGCGAAGAAAGTAGGAAAAAGTAAACGGGCAACGCGAGCGAAAAGAGAAAAACGCGAGCGGCACGAATAGCGCGAGAGAGGGACAGTAGAGAGAGGGAGATCAACGCTCAGTAACGAATTTAGAAAGGGGGACAGCGAGGGCCACGTACTTGACATTTTACATATGTATTTGCATTGCTAAATATTTCGTACTTGTGCGAGTCGTCTATTTATTATATACATATAATATTCATATATGTATTACTATTCTCTATTATATTACGTTACATATCTATTTATTCGGAGAATCTTCCTACTCTGCGCCTCAATAATTCTTTTTGTATATTTCATATGACACACGCGCATACTCGCGCGCGCGCACATATACACACACACATACGCGAAATAATTTGACGGTATATTAAAGAAAGTATTATTATACTTATTACCTTACGCTTTCCCAAATGTTTTTGGGAAGCCTCCACCAATTGTTTTTGTTGATATTTTTATTGAATATTTTATTTTATTAATTTTTATTTATTTTTTTTATCATTTTATTATTGAATATTTTATTTTACATTATTAAATATTTTCGATCTTGCAATGTTTATATATGTGCTGATGCGAGAAACGTGTTTGCTTTTACATGTTCACTCAGTTCCGCGAGTGCCCGCCATCCGATAGATCGATAGTTACGAAAAATTCTGACCAGCCACGTTCATCTCTAGCTACGCGTTTCTCATCACTTAATCCAGAAAACACGTTTTTGCTTTTTGAATTAATCGACAGCCATGAGGAATGCATAGCTAGACACGTAACGCGGCCGGCCGAAGACTTTTAGTAACTATCGATCTATCGACAGGTCGATATTCGCAGGACTGAGCGTACAGATGCGTTGTTGTAGGAGCGCGGCAACGTTCATATCGCAGCGCGAATTTTCGAGTGTATGTGATCGATTACGCCGCCATTTGCACTTTTTTTGTGTCGAGCAACTGCCATTAACACAACGATCAACATCGTTCCGCGAGTTTTACGCCTTTTTTGCCTGTTAAAAGTGAATCTCGCGCGGAAGTGAGTATCAGGAGTGCCGAAAACGGAGATGTACAATCGTCGGAAAGTATCATAAGTACGCGTAATTACGTCTCCTTATTTCTTGCAACCGGTGTTTGTTTCGATGTGTCGAATCGGAGTCTCTTACACTTATTATTATTACTTCACTCAAACAAGTGACAGAGTCGCGCAACTATCGGATTTACTAGTGCCGGGAATTAAAAATGCGACAATTAGGAGTAAATAGGAAGATAAAATGATGTCAGAATCTGTTAGCGCGCGCGCGAAAAAGAGAGAGAGAAGCCTATATGGATCGCGTCGTTGTAGGAGCGCGACACCGTTCACGTAGTGGCGCTACTTGTCGGCGTACAACATCAATTGCGTGGCCATCTTTGAAATCGATCTTTTCGCGTCGAGTAGCCACCATTGACACATCGATCGCTCCGCGTTTCATGCGTCTTTTGCCTGTCCAAAGTAAATCTCGTGCGGAAATAAGTATCGGGAATGGCGAAAGAGCGATGTGAGATTTTCGAGACGTATTGTAAGTACGTTATTAGGGAGTCATTTTCTCGTTTTTCTGGGTACGTAACTTGTGCCTGTCGCGACGTATCGAGTTGGCCTCTCTTGTCATTACTGTCGCTCAAACAATAATAGAATCGTACGATTGTCAGATTCCTTAATTAGAAATCAGAAATACAATAATCAGCGGTATAAATAGATAATACGATGAGATATACGTGACGCCGATTTCGGAAGGTAGTATCAATCTATTAGCAAAAGAAAGAAAGAGATATGTAAGCGCGCGTCTTTGTCGGACCACGACACCGTTTTACTGCGCATTTTTGCGTACATCATTAATCGCGCTGTCATTTTCGATCTTTTAGCGTCGAGTAACCGCCATTAATGCATCCATCGATATCGCTCCGCGTGTTTTTTGTCAAAAATGAATCTTGTGAAGAAATAAATATCGCAAATATGTTAGTAGCAAATATAAATAGTGAATAATATACGTGTCGAATTGGCATCCTTATCGTACACTTATTATTATCGATTCACTTTAATAGTGATAGACAACTGTTGTATTTATTGTACAGCTTAATAAAAGAAGAAGACATTTCTTTTTATTTCGTGTCAGCTGACACGACACGTTAGAGCCAATTATAATCCTTGGCAGATGATTTGATAGTGACGTTGACTACCTCTCGTAAACAATAGCCCTGAAATAATCGCTACACTCCTCTAGTATACATCATATTTATTTGCATCGTTCTTTATTGTTGCAGAGATACACTGGCTTCTTACTCATTCCCGGCATCGTCGTGTAACGTCGGTGCAACGATAAAAGTGCAAACGTTTGATATTGACCGGATAAAAGTGCCGATAGCCTATTAAATTAAGCATTTCTAAATGCTCGTTGGCTTTTATCGCGCGCGAAACTGAAAAAGGAGACGATAAACAGAGAGAGTAAGAGAAAGAGGGGGAGAGAGAGAGGAGTAAACACGAGAGCGAGCGAAACAAATCCACCAGCGATGGTGCGACGAAGATCGACGCCCACGAGGAACGAGAGCGGCATGCTCCGTCGCGAGCGCGCGACGGAGAGCGCCGATTGGCTGACACGCGCGCGACAAGGACGAGGCGAGCAGGAAGAGCGGCGCGAGCAGCAGCGAGAAGCCGGCGACTTCGGGAGTACTCGGCCGCTCAGTCGGACGCGCGATTACAGACATACGAGACGCGCGCGCGGGACTCCTCTCCTCGAGCGAGGGCCGAGAGAGCGATTCGAAAACGGTGAGACCACGTGCTGGCGAGGGCCGCACGCGGACCGCGACGCCGAAAACCGCAGCGGGATCAGAGGCCGGCAGAGGTGCGCGTGCACCGACGACAGTGTGTGCCGTCAACCTACGTGCGACCTTCCGCGTGACCCTTCGGGACGATCGTGCGCGACGCGTGTCGCACGCGGCAGACCCTTTCCACCGGCCGGTGGACGCGGAGCGCGATTACGATACGGCGTTTCCACCGCGACGGAAAGGAAATATATATATATATATACATATATATATATATGTATATATGTATATATATATACGGGAGTGTGTGAGAGTGCGCGCTTGTCAGGTGGTGACTTGAAGTGAATTGCGATTCGGAGAGGACAAGTGATCGTCCCGCGGCTGCTGCTGTTGCTGCTGTGTGCGGAGCGAGCGGACCAAGCCGGTGCGAAGCATCGTCCAGATGTCACGGGCGCGTCGTCGAACGGTGAGTGCTTTTTCTTGTCAATAAGTGCGTGAAAGAAATAAGGACGTCGCGATTCACCAACTCTACGCTTTTCGCGATCTCCTTTTTTCTCTCGCGTGCGCGTCAGCGAGGTTAGTGGATACCTGGAGGTAGATCATGGCTTCTGCGGGGTAAAGGGGAGGAGGTAGTGGGAGGAGGTGGACGGTGGTGTTAGGTTTCCGTTCTTATTTACGGTTTCCGCGGTCTACTCGAAAATCGCCGTGAACGTAGCGTGAACGGCACCGTTGTGGTCGTCGCGCTTTTTGGCGAAAACGGTGAAATCGGGGCGAAGAGGGATCGTTGACCCGGCGGATCAACACGGCCGACTAGGACCGACTCGGCTCGGCGGCGGCGGCTACGTCGAAAGTTTTGGTCGAAAGTCGCGGAAAGAGCAAGCGCCGACCCGATTTTTCGCCGGCGCGCCCCTCGCCGCGAACTCGAGCGATTCACTCTTATTGGCGTTTCGTCGTGATAAATTCGATCGTAGTTTCTCCGCGATTATCCGCTCGCGTCTCGTCGCTCGAGGCGTTCCTCCTCGAGACCCGCCGAAGAAATATTTTAATTTTCATACATACAATTATACGTTTTGTCACCGCAGAGTCAATCGATTGCACACAAGGTTTGATACATCGCGACATGTTTGATTGACAAGCCGATATTGCTTTTGGAAGTATGCATTTTCGCACTTCCATTATGCGGGCCGTCTCATGGTGTATTGAATCTATTTAAATATTAACACACTCGCGGCCATTCATCTCGATGTATTTCCCGGTAGTCTGTTTTCCTTTTGTTATCAAGTTACCACTCGTCATTTCCGGAAATCTATCTGAATGTCTGAAACGTGTTCGAGAGATGTGTTTTATTTACCGTGATTTACACCTTATTTTTCGTCGGGGAATGCGCGCCGAGACGGCGCGCGCGCGCGGCAGCTTCTCTTTACAATTCGCGGTGATTTACAGTGCTTCGCTTTGCAGAACGGTGTCGGTGAAGCTTGAATCATCCGAGCGTACGCGGCCCCGTGAATTATCGCGGCGCGAGAGAAAGTCGAGGAGCCGAAATTAAAGTCGATTCCGCGTCCAGTCCGTCGCCGCCAGCTCGCACGGCTGAGTGCTCTAAATGCACGACCGTCGCGGCCGCGTATTTACGGAGCACCGCGGAAATCATAACTTCGAAGACACGCGTGCACTACGGCCGCGTATCATGGAGAAAGTCCCTCGCGGTCGCTCGTAGCTATACGCACACCTCTCATTTCGCGCCGCGCGAAAAAAGCACGACAGGCAGGTCTCCCTTGCATCGTGTAGGTGTTTTCCACGGATCTCGCGCGGGTCCCGATGCGATTCGCGTGAAAATTCGCATAATTAACGCGCATGCTAATTATTACGGCGGAAGGTGCTCGTCTATATCGCACCGAGGCTTTCTTCGGTACGAGTTTTCGGTCAGTGAAAGTTCTACACACCGGTGTCACGTAGGAAGTTTGCGAATTTTTCTTTAGAAAGAGAAATACACATATGCATACATATATACACACATATATACATATGTATTTATTTATTTGTTTGTTTGTTTATTACATATATGTATGTGGAGAACGTCGTAAAAATTCGGCGATAAGAGCAGAGTGACGCGTTAAACATCTTATCACACCTTAGCGACGCTGCGATCCCCGGTCGTATAGCTGCTTTTTCGCTCGCTTCTCCTCCCTTTCTCCTCGCGCTTTTTTTTTTTTTTTAACGCGAACGGTAACGGAAGAAAATAACGCGACGGGGCGTTGCGTCGTGCAGCCGCGGAGTGCTCTATCGGCGAGGCGAGAGGCACGAAAGAGCGATTGACAGAGAGAAGTGACGCGGGCGGGGGCGCGGGGAGAAAGAGAAGGAGCAAAAAAAGGAGGAAAAAAAAAGATTGACTCGGCAAAAAGGGAAGAGGGCGAGTGCGAGATTTTTCCACGTTGCCGGATAAAAGGCGGCGTGATCGCAGGGAGGATTATCGCGGCATTGTCGGGTCCAGGCTCGCGATAGAGAGCGAGCGAGTGGGTAATGCTGTACTCTCTGTTTGCGCCGGCCCTGCGGGGTCTCTGACCGCCCGTCCGCGCCTCTCAACTCGACTCGCTTGTCCACGTTGCCGCGGCCTACCTACGGCTCGCTTGCGCTCAGTTCAAGTCAGCGCTCTCTCTCTCTCTCTCTCTCTCTCTGTTTCTCTCTCTCTGTCTCTCTCTCTCTCTCTGTTTCTCTCTCTGTCTCTCTCTGTCTTTTTATTTCTGTCTCTCTCCTCTCTCTCACAATTTTTCTTTCTCTCCTTTCCTCCCTAATTTTCGACTCTCCGCACGCGAGTCCACGTTTGTTTCGGAAAAATAAAAAGAAGAAAAAAATAGCTCGCAAAAAAGCAGGGATAGTCATATTAAAGAATACTAACAAGCTATTCGACTTCATAATCTGGAAAAAAGAAGTGATATAAACGAGATTTATTTTTGTTACGAACGATTCCTCTTACTCCTCGTTTTACACTCGCGAATGTTTATCGTGTATTAAGTTAGACACTTCCGCACCGGATCGTATCATTGTGTCTCTCTGTGTGTTCGGACACAAATCTCCGTTAATGAGAGTTGTCAATGTTTTTTTTGTCGTATCCTCCATTGCGCAGTCGATCACTCAGCGATCCGTTAATCTCGTTACTGAAGCACTTCGCCTCCAGGTAACCACGCCAAATAAGTATACATGAGATATATCTTGCGTATCTTTTCAACGAGACATATCGTTTTGCAACTTTTCGTCCCGAAAGGAACGCACTTATCGTATCGATAATGTGTGTATGTAGTGTAGTTTAAATGCGCCACTGTTAAATTACCAATGTTCTCGCGGGGGCATTCTTGCGGATTAATGCCCCGTAATACTTTCTTTTTGCCGGGCTTACGCAACACGGAGTTGCATCTGCTTCGATGAACGAAGTTGCACATGCTTTCTAGATACGCGCACACCTATTTTCTTTTTTAATGGCGAGAACAGAAAGGATACGTTCCTTTCGTGGTGACGAAACCTCACAGGCTTCGTGGATTATTGACGGTATTATACACAAATCGCGAACACGAAATTTCTCGTGTGAAACTTGTAGAAGTTTGTGCAGTGAGTCATTCTTGTCTTCGGGACTTTCTCCCGAAATTCTCGCTTGTCTCCGTGGTATTGAATTCCAGTCGCAAAAGTATCGCTCTGTATTTTACTCGCGCATACTCGCGAGTGCATCAGCGCGGACGTGCATTAGCACGCTCTCGAAGAGAGCCATCATCGTTACCGTTTTGTACTGATCGCGTATAATCGTTATTGCACCTAAGTAATGCATGAGAACGAAACGAAAGAAACGTTTCATTGATTTACGAACTGCCGCTACGGTTGCTTCTATCTCTACTACGCGGAGTCGTTAGCAACAGTAACGAAGCTATTTATTCCGCGTGCCGGGACGCGCAGCCTCTCGTGCACGCCGCAATTTTAGAAAATTACCAATTAACGCGAACGCGTTCTGTTCCACGGTGTACGCGCAATCCAACCGCGCGCTTCCTTTTTGCATAAACAATTCGCGGGTCACGGTTGCGTGTATGTCCGCTCTATGTGTACGTATGTGTGTATGTATGTATGAGAGAGAGAGTGAGGCTGTGCGCATATTGTCATCGATTATCAGGACACGGCCGACCACGTCGCCGGTTTCTCTACTTGCCTGATGATTCGCGCCACTTACTACTTGATCGAACTGCACCTACACCTTCTTGTAAGTGCGGGCGATATCCATAGGCAGGCTTTCCCGATAAGAAACGTCCTGACCGAGAAAACTCGAGGGACTTAACCTCAATTTTGTCGATTTAAGCTTCCGCCACCGAGAGTCTCGGTATACCAACATTGTCTTTGTGGTTTAATTGTAGAAAATCAGTTGTGTCAACATTATTTTGGGAGGAAGGAGAAGGATTCTATTTACTATATTATATTTTTCATGTAACTTATGATTTCTTCTACTTCGCGGATTTCTATGATGATCTCATCTGACGTAAGAAATTAAAGACAGATTTTTTTAGGAGAAGTAAAAATTAATTTTTGCGAGAGTAAGAGAGGAAGACACATGCGATATCATCACCGAAATAAAATTTGGCGTAATTATACTGAGAGAAAAATTTTTTTTTTTAATTTGTCTATGAGTTATAAGATTTATTTCTATGAAATAAACTTTTATCTCATAGATAAATTTTCAAGTATTTTTGTTCTTAGTGTAGAGTTTTTCAACATTCTCTCTTTCTCTCTATTTCTCCTTGCATATACGGAAATATTTTCGTAGCGTTTTAACGATCGAATTGACGAGCAGCGCAACGATACGACATCGATTACAGTCGCGGTCGGATCGCGGCGACGCGAAATTCTCGCGAATCAGCGAGTTTTCTCACCGCGTGCAAAAAGCGAACCTTACGGACACCCGGTATTTTGTGGTGTAACGCGCGCACGTGCAACGCGGCGCGCGGTCCGTGTACGTGAACGAACGCACACGACGTCGGAGCCAGTGAACCGAGCATTATAGTGCCCTGCAAGAAACGCCGGCCTGGTGCATTGACCGCGGTTGACCACACGTCATCGAATGAGTGACGTCACGCGGGCTTTACTGCACGAAAGCTACGTCACGGTCGGCTGCATCGCGAAGACGCGTCCTCGAAAATCTTGATTGCTCGAGCACTTTTTTTTCCCCATCTGTCGCTGTGCAACGCTTATTGATCCTTGGATGCGCGATGTATCATATTTTCATACGCATATCTCGGTGCGTGAATTTCATGCGCTTTCTTGGAGTATTGCTGCAAATTATTTTGCGCCACACGTACGCACGCGATATACGTAAGGACTGTCCTCTCGAGCTTGTGAGCGAGGAGTAGTAATGCGAGGATTTCTCTCCGCGCATTTGCGAGTAATGGTCTCCGTTATTTTCGACCTCCTCCTAATTTTGTAATCTTTATTGCCCTC